TGTGGTGTTGTGTCTCTATGCGTTTCCTGAAGCATTGTAATGGCTGCATGAATGTTGCATGGGCTATGTTTTGGGGAGGAAGCCGGAGCACGAAACCTTGTGTTTTTCCGTGTAAAGTGGCTTCAGCCGGCGATGAAAGGTACCTCGTGTGTGCGACGGGTGCGGCTGCGGTCGTTCCAGACGCGATTGGTTCCTTCTATGTGTTTTGCAACAAGTGGTTGTTCCTGTGGTGTAGTTCTATGCGTTTCCTGAAGCTGTGGTTGCAGATCGCATTGGAATGGCTGCATGAATGTTGCATGGGCTATGTTTTGGGGAGGAAGCCGGAGCACGAAACCTTGTGTTTTTCCGTGTAAAGTGGCTGCAGGCGACGATGAAAGGTACCTCGTGTGTGCGACGGGTGCGGCTGCGGTCGTTCCGGACGCGATTGGTTCCTTCTATGTGTTTTGCAACAAGTGGTTGTTCCTGTGGTGTAGTTCTATGCGTTTCCTGAAGCTGTGGTTGCAGATCGCATTGGAATGGCTGCATGAATGTTGCATGGGCTATGTTTTGGGGAGGAAGCCGGAGCACGAAACCTTGTGTTTTTCCGTGTAAAGTGGCTGCAGGCGACGATGAAAGGTACCTCGTGTGTGCGACGGGTGCGGCTGCGGTCGTTCCGGACGCGATTGGTTCCTTCTATGTGTTTTGCAACAAGTGGTTGTTCCTGTGGTGTAGTTCTATGCGTTTCCTGAAGCTGTGGTTGCAGATCGCATTGTAATGGCTGCATGAATGTTGCATGGTCTATGTTTTGGGGAGGAAGCCGGAGCACGACACCTTGTGTGCTCAACGTTGCTCGGTGCCGCGGCTGCATGCGTAATACTATTGTCTTTTGCAGCTGAACATCGTAAATCGTATTGGAATGGCTGCATCCAGGCTGCGATAGTGATTTGCGAGTATAGATTTTCGCAATTTTCACGGTAGTAATTTTCCTTTTAAAAATCCTTTTAAAAAGTGCTTCAAAATCGTCTTTTTTCTGCTTTGGCGTCGACATCCGGTTTTGGAGCTACAATTTCCGATGCTGTTGCGCGTAGTTCTATTGTGTTTTGCAACTCAGTCTCTGCAGATCGCATTGTAGTGGCTGCGTCAAGGTTGCTCGGTGCCGCGGCTGCATGCGTAATACTATTGTCTTTTGCAGCTGAACATCGTAAATCGTATTGGAGTGGTTGCATCCAGGCTGCGATAGTGATTTGCGAGTAGATTTTCGCAATTTTCACGGTAGCAATTTTCCTTTTAAAAAGCCTTTTAAAAAGTGCTTCAAAATCGTCTTTTTTCTGCTTTGGCGTCGAGATCCGGTTTTGGAGGTACAATTTCCGATACTGTTGCACGTAGTTCTATTGTGTTTTGCAACTCAGTGTCTGCAAATCGCAATGTAGTGGCTGCGTCAAGGTTGCTCGGTGCCGCGGCTGCATGCGTAATACTATTGTCTTTTGCAACTGAACATCGTAAATCGTATTGGAGTGGCTGTATGCAGGCTGCGATAGTGATTTGTCATGAGATTTTCGCAATTTTAATTTTCACGGTAGTAATTTTCCTTTTAAAAATCCTTTTAAAAAGCGCTTCAAAATCGTCTTTTTTCTGCTTTGGCGGCGAGATCCGGTTTTGGAGCTGCAATTTCCGACACCGTTGCGCGTAGTTCTATCGTGTTTTGCAACTCAGCCTCTGCAGATCGCATTGTAATGGCTGCGTCAAGGTTGCTTCGTGCCGCGGCTGCATGCGTAATACTATTGTCTTTTGCAGCTGGATCTCGTAAATAGTATATTGGAGTGGTTGCATCAAGGCTGCTACAGTCATTTGTCAGCAGATCTCCGTCAAGGGTGAAGTGTGGAGTGTGATGCGTGAAGTGTGGAGTGTGAAGAGTGCAGTGAGAAATGTGAAGTGCGAAGCGGAGCTTCAAATGTGACATGAGAAACAGGACACCACTTTCGCAGAATGCACGCACGCACGGGCTTGGCTGGCGCACGGCGCATGCAAGTTCTATAGATGAGAAAGGTCTTATATATATCCCTAAGGCAACTTCCGCCCCGCCTCGTGCGGGTACTACTGGAATAAAGAACTATCAAAATCTATACGAAACACTGCGCGCACGCAGGTGTGATACGACTTCAGGTCGATTGATACGACTTAAGCCTAGTGGTAGTAGGATGGTATTAGAGTTTCTGAAGATAATTATAAATTATCTTAAATATTATATAGATGCCTCCCAAAAAAGTAAAACCAAAGATGAGTAGTAAAATCAAGAAGCAACCAATTTCTGAAGATTTTGAACTATCAGATGAAGAACCCACAACAATAAATCTGGATGAGGAACAAAAACTATCAAGCAAATTTATCACCTTTGATTGTCCTATGTGTGGCTGTAAGTTACAAATGAGAAATGAAATTTCAATTGACCCTAAAGGGATAAAATGTTCTTGTAACCCTTGTAGTTTTAAACTCAGTAGAAATGATAAAACAATGAATGTCAGCAGGGATGACAACGGGGAGATAGTTTTAGAGAGTGAAGACCACAGCATTAGTTTTTCGTGGAACAGGCAAGTCACCCCAGAAGACAAAAAAACTGAGAGCACTAATAGAATCATAAGTGATGTAGTGGGTAGTAGTGGTAATAAAAAGCAAATGGCAATAAGTGATATGGATTGAAACTGTTTAAAGAGTGACTATAACACACGTTCAACTGATAAATAAATAAATATCTAAATAATTAATATATAGTAATGAGTGATTTAGATGATAAACAACCTGAAATGGCTGAAATGTTGCACAAGATGACTAGGTATAACAAGAATGTCAAAACACTGATGGACTTAATGAACAAGGCAATAGAAAAACTTGATATACTAGTGAAAAATAAATCAAGTAATGATAATGATGCTGATGCTGAGAAAGAAAGGATGGACAAAATCTTTGAGAAAAAGCAGGTGGGAAGACCGGCTGGGACTTATGAAACAAAGCAGAAACAGTATCTGGCTATGCTGAATGAAGACAAATCAAAATGCCTAAGTCGCAGACACTTGAGTTTTACAAGATTGAAAGGGATGGTGAGGTGTTTAAAATGATGGAGTGATAAAAAAAAACGCGTATGTTTCATCAATAATTTCATATATAGATTATATGAAATTACTTGAATTGTTTAGCGGAACTGGTAGTGTGGGAACTGTTGCGAAAGATATGGGATGGGATGTTGTCTCATTAGATTTAAAAGGGGCTGATATAAACTGCGATATACTACAATGGAAATACAAAAAATATCCTGTGAAATACTACGATATGATTTGGGCTTCCCCCCCTTGCATTGAGTATAGCATTGCGAAAACGGTTGGAACGCGAAAAATTGATGAGGCTAATGCCATCGTTTTGAAAGCGCTTGAGATAATCAAATACTTTAACCCGCGCGTTTGGTTCATAGAAAATCCCCAGTCGGGGCGTTTGAAGAAGCAACCATTTATGGAGGGTTTGCCATTCTTTGATATTGACTATTGTAAGTATGGTTTTAATTACCGGAAACGCACTAGGCTCTGGACTAATCTGGACACTTGGACACCTAGACCTCTTTGTAAAAGAGATTGTGGAAGTATGGATGGAAACCGTCATAAAGAAACAGCACAGAGGGCACTCAGTGGGAAGAAGGAAAACTGGAAAGAAGGCTACACTTTGTTCAAACAGAAGGAGTTGTATAGAATACCTCAAGCATTAGTTGAAGAAATTATGACTGCTGTAAATATTGTATGTTTTAGTTAGTTGCGCCTTGCCACACAAAAATACTGTGCCTGCAACTGGGTCAGCTGTTGTGGCGTTGCCTTCGTCAAAGATAAGATAAATATAGATATAGAATTATGTTTATATTCAACCCAGTCCCCATTCCCATCCACGGCAGTGCCAGACTGTTTCAAGACCTGAAATCTTGAAAGGGGGGGTGAATGTGCGAGGATAATATTATTTTATGATATGTTGTGTGTGTGTGTGAGGGGTACGTGGGTAGGTTGTATTTATATATCCACAAGGGATTGGATAAACCCTCCCAAAAGTTGAGTTTGGAAGATTGTTTGGTAGTTTCACTCCTTCCAGCTTCTGGTTGAATTCATGACCAAATGTCATGCCCCTCCATGCTCTGGTTCAACCTTCTGCTTGGCATTCTGTAGCTTGTCTTTTCAACCTCGGGATGGGCAGTTTGAGCCGGTGGAGTGGGAGTGTTGATTGATACACAAGTGTGTTTTTAACACAGGAATTCATGCGACTTCCAAATACCAAGCACTTGCCCAAAACCTGCTTGAATTCTTTTTGTCTTCCTCTCTTGATGGGCATTTGCGGTCTTTGTCATGCTTGCCTGCTTAAAAGGCAAAGCGGAATGTAAAAATGCCACGCCTGTGCATAATCACCGAAAACTTGAATTTGAATCCAGAAACGCACTGCCTTTGAACCATCACCGTTTTGAAACTGTGGTTTCACAGTCTGGAAACTGTGAATAGTGGATTTTCGCAGTTTTCTTTCTTTTTTAGTCTTTCACAGGTGGGAAACCGTGCCTTCTGGATTCGCCATTGGCAGTCTCACTTCTGTGAGAGCATTGTGAGTGGTATTGGGATCAGTAAAAACGAAGCAGCATAGTCGCAAAACAAGCGAAATAGGCAAAGCGGAATGTAAAAAATGCCACGCCAAATGCCTGTGCATAATCACCGAAAACTTGAATTTGAATCCAGAAACGCACTGCCTTTGAACCATCACAGTTTTGAAACTGTGGTTTCACAGTCTGGAAACTGTGAATAGTGGATTTTCGCAGTTTTCTTTCTTTTTTAGTCTTTCACAGGTGGGAAACCGTGCCTTCTGGATTCGCCATTGGCAGTCTCACTTCTGTGAGAGCAATTTGTGAGTGGTATTGGGATCAGTAAAAACGAAGGGGCAGCAAGAGTCACAATAGAGGCGAAACTTACTCGAATTGTGAAGATTGGAACATTCCAAGCACCGATAAGTTAGATGAAAACCTCCACCGCTCGGGGAATGAAGGCAGTGATATTTTCGATGCTTTTTGAGTTTGTGATCGGGAATCTGCAACAATCCCTGGGCATCGTCATCATTGGCAGGTGCAGGCATCACGGACCGCCCTCGAGCGAAGTGTCTCGCAACTAACAAGAGCACAAACTGCAACCAGAGTCGCATGTTCATATATAGCTAACATTCAATTAACATTCTTCTTCTGGCAAAACGCGAATTGGCAAAATGGCCCTGATTGAGCCCAACTACGGAGCATCCAGGTCTACAAAGACCATGCTACGATAAGTAGTTGTTCAATTCCAATTGCATCAACCTTCTGCATATCATGCTGGCTTCGCACTTCCATACCATCCCATCTGAGAATCCCGACAGTAAGACCGAGAAGGGTGCGGTGAGGATGTAGCAAAGGGCGGGGCAATGAGCAATGGACGAACGAACGGGAAAAATCTAACCACTACAAGGCATACTATTGTTCAATCAATAATAGACAGCTTGCCATGTTTAAGCGTACAAGAAACCAATGAAAGTTCAAATGATGATGATGATGATGATGATGATGATGATGATGATGACGAGGAAGATGAATTAAGATGAGTAAAGATGAAATTATGATGAATTCTGATGATGGAAAACGGGTAAGATGGGATGATTAAAGCATAAGAAAAGTTTTTATTGTGGTCTGTTGTATTGATTTTTATGTTGTTCTTTGCTATTGAGTTTTCTTTGTATTGGTTGGTTGTTCTGTTTCTTGGTAAGGTTATTTTTAGGATAGTTTGTTTTGTTTAGGTTGTTTGAGTTTTGCTTTGTTGGTTGTTTGTTATGGTTTAGGTTATAGGTTTTATAAATTCTATAAGGAAGCACTGGCGCACTTCAAATATCAAAAATTACGGGGTAAAATATCCACCTGTTCTTAAATGATGGTAAAAGTGTGGGGGGTATATATAAATGGGAAGTGCGTCAGTGCGTAAGGCCAACTATTATATATGTTTCAATAAATTTCAAATGGATGTTTAAATATGATCAATATGTTTAATAGGCTGTGGGTGCTTGATACTTTGTTACAAAGGACTCGCAACAAACATGTCGGTCCCTGCAGCTATAGCCATTGACAGTACTGGCTTATAACCACCTCATTGTAGTGATGTATATATATATATACAATATAACCATATATAACCTAGGTTACAGGAGTTATAGCCCCCATTCATAAACTGTTAAGGCTGTTAAGGGCCATAGCGTTAAGGGCCATGTCGCGTCATGTCTGCCGTTTTGGAATGGCTGGCCCCATGGCCCCATGGCCCTATGGCCCGGCGCCTGCGCCATATCTTGCTCAGCTTGCGCCTGTGGGATCAGCTCCAAGTTGATATCCCAGTGGATTTCCATGTGATTTATAGATGTTTATAGAGGTCTGGAAATTCATCCATATCTCATGCAAAATCATATTTAATAGATAGTAAAGGTGGAATTCCTCTATAAATAGAGGTTGATATACCTGGGATAATCATCTATAAATGGGATCATCTGTAAATGGCGGATGTTCCATTCTCGTGATCAAAGGTGGTTTGCTGAAAAATCCACCATTTATAGATGACTATGCCAGCTAAAAGCTCTATTTGTAGTGGATTTCCCATTGCCACGTTTGATTACCAAAGGGTACTCATATTATATTCATGTGACCATCACCGTAATGAACATATTGTGACAGGTTATGCCAAAATGAGCGACACGTGCCATAAACCTGGCATGTGACATAAATTCATAAATTCCAGCGCTGAACCTGACATCAATTTTCTGGCTGGTGGTTTTAAAGCCATCCAAAAAATATTCGTCATCTCAACCAATCATTCTTTTTGTATGGTGGAGAAACGATTTCAGAAATTCGAACTAGAACTCCCCAAACCATTTCTGCCATGGTTTCGGTCAAAAAAAACGCCTCGTCATCCGCGCGAATCACACGCACAAAGGCCTGACTCGGCTCAGAGCAGCATTTTTTGGGGGTCACGTTGGGATCCCAGGGATTCCAGGTGGAAAACCCCCAAACCAATTGAATCACTGGGAATTTGAACAGAGACCCTGCAGTTTCAGTATTGAACATAGACCCTATTTCGAAATACGTCTTCAGAACTAGTTCGAAATACATTTCTGAACAGAACCAAACCAATTGAACATCTTCAGTTCTGTTCAGACGCTATTTCGAATTTTGGATTTCCCCAAAGTCCAAAACCTGGGTCCACGGTGATGATTCAAAGCTTACAAGAAAGTCAATGCCCAAAAATATATACAGGACTTTGGCTGTGGTCCAGTGCGGTAAACGAAGGGCGGTATTGGACGATCTCACTTTGGAAATAGGAAATTCCTTTTGTTAGTCTTGGTCAATTTTATCAGCTTTTTAAAACTAGGTTCCGGATGTGGGAAAATCCACAAGGGTTGGTATGTTTCACTCTATCATGGCAGCAAACAGTGTTGCATAAACATGTTCATTTGTGGTTGAATGTTTCATGAATCATTGGGGCTTCCGGGAGCTATATTTCTTGTGGGGTGTATCCTACGATGCGCCAATATGGTTTTGGGGGTTCATATTTAGAGACAAACCATCATGACATCTTCCATGCCTGTCTGTTTAAATGTATGACGGTTTATGGATGAGTTCATCGAACCACTGGTCTGGAGACTCTGCGATCATTCATGGCATCTGGGCAAACAAGAAGAATTCACCCATCTGAAATACCCTCTGGATCTCTTGTAAACTAACATAGCTATGGAAAATCACCATTCTTAATGGGAAAACCCACTATAAATGGCCATTTTCAATAGCTATGTTAGTTTACCAGAGGGTAAGGTCATATCGTGATGATTCCCCCAATCCTAACCATCAGTTAACCAGCGATGTTCACCGGTGAAGTGACGTCATCATTTTTTTTGCCCAAGTAGGATGAATCTCCCATTGGGCAAAATTTAAATTTCCCATTTCCCTACCACATTTCAGAAGACTCAGATGTGCAAAGTATCATGATTCTCAAATTAAAAAAAGGGAATTGTATATATATATATATATGGATATGATAAATATAAATATATATGTAGATATAGATTTCCCCGAATTAAGTACTTGTAAGGGATGATTCCACTAGAAAAAAAAACGTCGTTTACAACGACCTCAGCCCTGGTCCAAAAAGTCGCCTTCAACCGATCCGACGAGATGCCAGCAGCGTACTCCGAGACCTGGAAAACAACAGGAAACCCCATGTGTTTGGTGAAAAAATCGTGGGTCCATCCACGGAATATAAATAGATATAGTAGTGTTTATATTTTTGTGAATAATGGTGAATAATAGTTCTTAGTGGTTGATAATGGCGAATAGTGATATTGAGGTTTCCTAAGTCAAGGGGGTACCCCCTTGCACCATCTAAGGCATGAATGACCATGAAAGAGCATTTGAAAAACCATGGTGACCACATCGCAAACTTGAGCCGTACCGCCATTCTTGAGGTCGACGTCACGAGGCTCACCAACCTGGCAACAACACGCCACCAAATCAAAAGCCATCCGTGAAGAAATCTCCAGGAGCTCTTTGATTCCATGCTGTGGCCCACCCAATGCTAGCAGGAATGGATGTGTCATCGTCACAAGCCTCCAGGCAAGTGTTCTTCAAGTCAACGCAAAGCTTCAAATTCGAAGCTATGTAGCATGGAGAAGACTTCGCATCAAAACTGATCTTCTTCAGCAAGAAGTTAGCACCATGTTTGTATTTCACTTGGGGATCCCCCATTTTAAACCAACCCCAAATATTTAGTGATCCCCAATGGCAATATAATTTACTAGATCCCCAAATATTTAGTGACTTGGGGATCCCCAAATATTTAGTGATCCCCCATTACCGATTTTAAACTTGGTAAATCAACTAGACATTGGTAATTTACCATGGCAATATTTTTTTTGCCAGAGGGTAAACATATGATGTGTAGGCAATCTTAGACAACTACCCGGCCCAGTGCCTGAATCAAAATGATGTCCACCCGGAAAAAACATGGGGATGTAATAGGGCATCAACATTGGACTAGGATTCAGCAACAAAAATCCTTGCCTTCAAATCACTTCAAAAAATGTTTTTTTCAGCAACGTGTATATTCAACCCATTTACGACGGCCACACCAGGAATCTACCATTCACATCAATGCGCCAAGGTCTACCGGCCATAGATTTTAGAGACGGTCATTGTTGAGTTCCAGGAACTCGCGGCAAATATTCCAGTATACTCCACTGTTTGATAAGTTGTCAATACTTTAATAATGATGGATCATGTACTTCCCCTGTTGTTGCGTACCCTGAAAGAAAACCCAGTTTAGAACCGGAATGTACTGGACCTATTCATGCTTGAGGGATGTTGACATCAGCGAGAAAAGAACCTGTAAACTAGGTCCACTGCCCACAGCAGACCGTGACACGATATGACATTTCTCACATTCCAAGCACATTGAATGTTCGCAACTCCATTGGGCCAGAATTTTGCAACATTCTTGCTTGATATGCGTATTTGCAAAGGTTGGCATTCATTAGTTCTTAGTTGAATTTGCAATTAAAACTGCATTTTGCCCATCGCAGCGATTTTTTTTAACTTTTCTTGGACTTAATGAGTTCTTTGATCGGGTATCATTCTCGTTATTTGGACCATCGTAATCGCAGATTTCTTCGACATGCCACCTGCATAGAGCTGCTTCGGAGCTGCAGGTGCCACAGAAGGTTGGAAACAATTTGGAACACCAGTTCAAACAACGCCAGTGCAAGGAACGTTAACACTTAACACACACCCGCACACTCTTGCCCCCAAAAAATGACATGAAACAACTTCCAAAACCGCGTTCCATAGCTGGCATCAACTTCAAGACGCAAGCGCATCTTGAACATGAGCAGGTGATACTGTTGGTGACAAATGGTTGGAACAGGATCTCGTGCGTCCCTACCTTTCGTGTTCCCCTTCTCAAGTAACGAGTACTATATAACATGAAAAATCAAATGCGTAGCAAATAGAAGGGAGCAAGTAGCAGGAAGCCGCTAGCCGTTCGTAGGTTCATGTATGTATGTTTGTATGTTTGTATGTATATATATGTAATGTATATGATATGTATATGTTTATGTATATGCAAATGTATATGTATATGTATATAAAAATGAAAATGTATATGTATGTGTATTGTATATGTATATGTATTGTATATGTATATGTGTATGTGTATATGTGTATGTGTATGTGTATGTAAATGAATGAATGTATATATCTATCTATCTCTCTATCTATCGATCTATCGATCTATCGATCTATCGATCTATCGATCTATCGATCTATCGATCTATAGATCTATCGATCTATCGATCTATCGATCTATCTATCTATCTTATCTTATCTTATCTTAGCTATCTAATCTATCTTATCTATCTAATCTATCTAATCTATCTAATCTATCTAATCTATCTAATCTATCTAATCTATCTAATCTATCTAATCTATCTAATCTATCTAATCTATCTATCTATCTATCTATCGATCTATCCATCCATCCATCCATCCATCCATCCAACTATGTACGTACGTACGTACGTACGTACACGTATGTATTGATGTATGTATGCACCAAAAGTGCTGTAGCTCTTGGTCAGCTTTAGTGCAAAACGCAATGTTCGGATTCCAACAAAAGTTCTGAAATAAACTTCGAGGTAAAAATAAACATCCACAAGACAACTGGGCGCATCAATGTTTTCAGACTCAGGAGAATGGAGATTGATAGCATTTTGATCAACCGAAATGTCATTACAATGAAAAAGTAATCCTGGTTGGTTAAGAACTGCATTCCCAGTTCCATGGATTATCAAAATATATCAAAATCCCTGAGCAAATGGCGGAGCAATCATCAACCAAGAGGAGTTGAGCACGGCCCCTGCCTGCAGCACTGAAAGGATGGGGCAGTAGACTTGCAGTAGACGCCTGTTTGGCTGTTTGGCGGCTTCCATCCAAACCCCGCCGGATCAAACAACCTCGACTGCCCCCCCCAAAAAAATAGTAATTTAAAAACAGACCCCCTGGATTCAGCAACTTTTTTGCCTGGACTGAATTAATCAATCTCCAGTGCTGAAATCCCATTTTGTTTTATTTCCAACTCTCTTTATTTTCAAATTGTTTCCTTATTCTATACTTAAGTTGAAACCTCATGAACACCAGAATCCATTTCTGCTGATCATTGAAAATTTGAAAAAACAACTATTCCCCAAATGATCGATTTCTAATTAGATTCTTTATAAAAATCATCAGTTCGGATAGCTCCCAAAGGGTACCCCCATGACCCCATGTCCCCCATTAATAATAACCAGAGGGTTCCCCTTATTAATCAAACCCTTCCAAGGTTTTTTTTTTATGTGGGGGGAAACTAGGAAAGACCTTACAAGGTCCATCTGACCTTGTAGGGGGGGTGATTAATCCGATGTTAATATCTTGCTTCAAGTCCCACTACGCCCATTAGGCTCCGGGTTGGATGGCGGATAAACTATGGAAGCTTTGGCTCTTGCTTATGTTCGAATAACTAGCTCAGATCATCTGAGCGAACTTCAAGAGGAGCCATGAATTCACAAAAATTGGCAATCTTCATTTATCTGCGACACGAAATCATTAGCTTCGGAACATGCAATATGTTATCAAAGGTTTGAAATTTAGAGGCCCAACATCATTGACTCCAAAGCTAGATGCTCTATCGATATTTCTCAAGTGTTAGGTACTAAACCCTCTCTCCACTTTATTTTTCCAAGCAACCTAGACCCTTCAAATACACCCAAAAAAGGTCAAAGATATGCTGCACACGAAGGGTTTAGGTCCCGTCTAAGTCCTCGAATACAAGTATGAATCTCCCTGAAGAAGAGGGTGCTCTCCCAGTAATTCTATACCATTAAATCCCATTAAGTTCATTGTCCGTTATGTAATGAATGATTTTTGATCCCATTAATATTAAATAAATTAGATAATTATTATCCCATTGAATCCCATTAAAACCATTGAATCCCATTATTGGGGTTTTTGGTAATCCCATTATCCAAATATTAAGCCATTATTTGATATTCGGAAATTAATCCCATTATTGTTGGATTATATTTGGTAATCCCATTATAATAATTCCCATTACCCTCTGGTAAATTAACATAGACCCTGGCAGATAGGGGTTGGAAGACTAGTTTCCATTAAACATTGGTGATTTTCAGGGTCCAACTGTTAATTTACCAGAGGGTATTTGAATTTATTAACCCATTATCCCATTATTAATTCTCTCATATTGATCCCACACCACTCGAGGTCATCCTCACATGGAATCACTGTAATGGAATCACCACAAACCATGGATGGTGAATCCATGGGATCAAGGCCAGCATGATTCTGAGCAAAACTGTTTGTGAATCTTAGATACCTGTCAACAAGAAAAACTATAAGTTTTAGCTAGCAGCTAGGACATTTGAGCAGTTTACTGCACCGGATACTAAAGATACTAAGGTACGAGCCATTGAGTTCGTATCTAACCAGTCGACCCAGAAATCAACACCCAACCGCTTCGAGCTTCGATGGCACCTGGGAGCGTTTGGCGCGGTGGCGCTCACCTTCAGCCGACAGCCCAGGTTCTGGCCCTTCACCTGGAGAAGAACCCCTTGAAATCAACCATTGAAACATAGGGATTCTTCATCGGTGAACGGGATATGAATCGGGATATACATACACACATATATCATATATGATACATATATATATACTGTATAAATACTCTGTATAAATATAAATACTATATTATATACATAATTATATAGAAATATCACCAACTTAAGTCACAAGCTGGATGATATGCCATGATGTACCTTGTCCTTGGGAGATGGTCATCGGTCTCTTTTCATAGTGCTATATATATATATATATGTAGATGCACTCTTGCTGGATTCCCATTGTGGGATGAATGACCATAAACATCATAAACCAGAAGAAACCAGTTTTAAGACCCAAATCAGCAATCAGCAATCCAAAAACCATAAACCATAAACATAGTAAACCATAAACTCAAACGATTTTTTCCGACCATCAGCCATGTTTGATCACCGGTTGGCCCATGTATCCAGAAGCATATCCACCATCCCTAAGGGCCCGACCATCAATGGGTGGCTTCGAGAAACCATCCCCACATGGTAGGTCTACTTATGGCACTGGGCTTACCCTAGTGATTCTTTGGAGCCATGGTCATTTGTGGCCGAAAAAAACCGGAATTGTTGCTGAGTGCATTGCTACCTTTGCTTGCCATCTTTGTGAACTATGCTAAGTCTATCGATTGAATTCCCTTTTTTACTGCTGAACTTCCTTTTGGTCTGGTTTTGTAGCTCAAACTCCATTTTTCCTGGTCAAAAGTTCAGAAATATGTCTATTCTACTCCTCGAGAATATTCACCAGAAACTACCTTAGACACGGTTTGCTCAATTCCTATCGCCCAATTTCTTTGTTGGCCCAAAAACATTAGCTCAACAACCTCGTTCATCGTCATTTTCACCAGAAAAAAATGACATGTCCTCCATTTCCCATCATTTTCCCATTTTCCCAGTGCCAAATTTCTTCCTCCTGGCTCCCCCTTCTTCGGCAATCCCACCACATCGAAGACTTTCGGCTTCGATGTGACCGGTAGAGGGGCTTGGCCGGCCATAGCACCAGCCGCGCGATTACGATCCAACTGATGGCAGTGGTGCAGATGAATGGCCTGAGCGGCTCTGGGGGCCGTTTCATGGGGACCATCAATAGATGTTGAATGGGAATGAACCTAACTAAATTGTAATTCACTGTCAATGGTCATTATCAGCCCTGGTTTCTGGTAATTTCACCAATAACAGATCTTTAATTTATTGCAAAACATATATTTAGTGGGAATGAACACAGGGGGATAAGATTTTGTTGACCTATCAATGTTGGATGTTTTCCTCGGGATACCATTGGACCATCCGATGTTTTTTCAATCAAAACCTCCATTTATAGGGACTTTGCCACGTTTGATTACTGGGTATATTCATCTGGGGTACTTTAAGTGGGATATTGCGGAAATTCTCTTTGGGAAAGATTGTTACATGGCTTACACATATGTGCCATTGTCAATATACTTGGGTAAATTGCCTCTTGGGGGATGGACACCACTCCATTTTAATAGGGATATTTTATATATGCCCATGATGTTTGGATTCCCACTATGGGATGGATGAACACACCAGAGATATCATATATGGGGGCCGACTCGTTAGGACATTGTGGGGGCCTAATACTTTTTTTTATTTGGAGATTCTGCAATGTTCTGGCACTTGGTGTTGGGATAATAACCATACAGAACTATTACCCAACATCATTTGGATAATATACCTATTCTTTTTGGATATAACTATGACCATCATGATCATTTGGAACATTTGGGAGACGTCGGACACGAAATCCATTGGTTTAGAACCTCATTTTCCCGAAGTGAACGCCAGGTTCATGGGGGAGTCAATCCCCAAGACATTGCCCGAGTAATATATATATACATATATATATATATATGTATATATATATATATATTATATATATACATATATATACATATATATGTATATATCTATATTATATGTGTATATATATATTATATGTAATATATATATATAAATGTATTTTATATATGTATGTATTTTATATATATATATATTATGTATAATCTGGTTGGTGGTTTCAACCATCTTGAAACATATGAGCTCGTCAATGGGAAGGGTGACATCCCATATATGAAATGGAAAATAAAAGCCATGTTCCAAACCACCAACCAGTATATATATATATATGTTGGGGCTTTAGGCAAAACAGGTATTTCATCAGCATCCATGTTTCGATATCATGAGATGACCAGGTTGGATTGGATTGATGGTGATATGACTGACCAACAAAGTCTACTTGGTGTCACTGGAAAGGTTGGACAAGTAAACCCTGCGCAAAGCACAGACGGGACCCTGGAAGAGCATGCATAGACCAAGGTTTTTGGATTGAAGTTGAATTGCTGGAGGGCGTTTTTGAACATCCGACGCCCAGCACGTCCCGCAGCGACTTGTTCCCCACAAAGGGAAAATTCTTTGCAAAGACCTCTTCATCGCGCACCAGCTCCTTTTACCTATGCTGAACTTCCTGGGCATCGTGTGTCCGGTGTTGTGTCTCCCTTGACTTCAGCACTGAACCATTCCAGGGCTCCAACGACATCATTGGTACCATTGCACCTGCTCCTGCTGGTACCAGCACGCATCTGCTGCACAGCTTCGTTTTACCAGCGAAGATAGTGTTTTACCATTGAAGATTTGGGTTCTACCATCGAACATAGGTAATGTGATACTAGTCGATGGATTGGTTAAAGTGAAACTTTCGCTAAAGGACGGTGTTTCTGCAAATGTCCCATCGTCGTATTTTCGACATGATGAGCCGCCCGCCTCAGAACATATAGAAAGTCATTGGAACTCATCATCTCAAGTCAGGATGGAAATAACCAATGTATGAAATCACCAACCACTTTTTGAATTAATGTGGGCAATATAAAAGAAAAAACAAAAACCTACCATCTGGGAATGGATTACCATCCATTCAGGCTGATTCTGGGGGTGGTTGATTTTTGGCTTAACACAGTCTGAGGAACCACAATGGAGTTAATTCTGTTCATAGAAGTTGGTAAGTTGTTCCGCCAAAACTTGTGAGTTACAAGCTTCAGAGCTTCGCTCGGATGGCAACAAAAACAACCAGCAACAGTGGGAACATAGCCGCATTGAATACTCAACCAACATAAACTAGATATGGGATTGGGTCAGTTGACCCTAGATCCTCTGTTCACATCAAAATCGAGCTGAGTTCGCTAGATGTTCATCATCCCCATCATCCCCCAAATATGGTACCACAAGTTTTGACCCATCCCGGATACATAGTCGTTGCCAAGCAAAGAACAGAAAGGGAGCTAAACCATGAAGATCAGCAAACATAAGCATTCTTGAATCAACAAACATCTTAATCAATTGATTTAATGAACAAACCTTGAGAGTCCGTGTTGTTTTAATTCCCAAATGCAAATGCTCCGTTCATGCAGCTCTGGAAATCATGTGTTTGTATATAGTATATATATATAATCATATAATATGTATCTATATATATATATATATAATTAGTGTATATATAGATTTAAAAGAAACAAAAACTATAAAATGAGTTGCCCTCCAGTAAATTAATAGAGATATGGAAAATCCACGTCGTGGATTCGTGGATCATGTCCGAAGCCCATGGATTTCCACGTCGGCGATTCCTCACTGAGGAACGGATTTGGCCATGCTGTTGCTGTATTGCGACCCTGCAGAATCCAACCACTTCTCCTTAGAGTGCGACTGGCTTACTTGGGGAAGGAACTTTGGGGATGATTTTTGATGGGTATGACAATGTTTTTTCGGTATAATCATGGTCATATAAGCACTTGTAACTGGAACTGCACCCCCAAGTACCAGCCACTAGGCCTACCTTTTTCTTGTATCTGCTTTTACCTGTTTGGTTGAGCCACCCGTCCAAAGAACACTAGTCGATTTGGATAATCATGTTAAATGACTGCAGTAGGGAGTTAATAAACCCCTACTATCGCTGGTGATGAACAACATTTCAAGACAAGACCCTTTCATAAGGCTATCGTTTTTGTTTGGGATCTTTGGGGGGGCTACCCATGGCTACCCATGGCAGCTTTCATGATCTGTCCGCTGAACGGCGATTTCGGTCAATGACAAATCCTGGATCAAAGGAGTCAGTGGTTTTTGAGTCGACGTGGCATTCTCCGCATGTATTACATTACATATGAGTTCGTCAGTTGGGTTGATTAAATTCCCAATATAATGGGAAAAATAACAACCATGTTCCAAACCACCAATCAGATATTACTAATTTACATATCCTGATTGTTCCTGATTGTTCCTGATTGGTGGTTTCAGCCTATCAAAAACAAGTCCACTAGTCATTGGTGATCATCCCATTCATAAGCTTGAGAACAAAATGTATCTTTGAAACGCTGGTCAACAGATTACACCTATTAGCACAACATTATATTTTAGCAATTTAGTACTATTGCTGATGGTTTTTGAGTACGATTACTGATGGTGACATTATATCTACCCTCTGGCAAACTAACATAACTATGGAAAATCACCATCTTTAAATGGGAAAATCCACTATTTCTATGGCCATGTTCAATCTTTTTTTGTAATGTTGACCTATGATTTATAAATGCCCCTTGAATAAAGCTAATTTTTTCCCAAAATAAATAATAAATGCCCCCTAAATAAAGCTAATTTTTTTTGGCCCTAAAAGATTTGCCCAGATGGGGCTGAATTTTTTTTCCATGCTTTATTTGAGGTGGCTTTCATGTACTAATTCATATTGCCAGCTCATTAAATCTTACCTTGATAACTTCAAATTTTCAAAAATAATGGTTGCTCTTTTCTATTCAAAACCTTTATTCAAAATTATCCAAAATCAATCCCAAATCAACTCGTCAAGGGTACCCCCCATGAGGTGCCTTGGCACTAATTAGAGTTTGACCCTGAATAAAGCTAATTGTTTTTGGCCCTAAACCCAGATTTGCCCAGATGGGGCTGATTTTGATTTGTCCATGCTTTATTTGAGGTGGCTTTCATGTACTAATTCATATTGCCAGCTCATTAGATCTTACCTTGATAACTTCAAATTTTCAAAAATAATGGTTGCTCTTTTCTATTCAAAACCTTTATTCAAAATTATCCAAAATCAATCCCAAATCAACTCGTCAAGGGTACCCCCCATGAGGTGCCTTGGCACTAATTAGAGTTTGACCCTGAATAAAGCTAATTGTTTTTGGCCCTAAACCCAGATTTGCCCAGATCCATGACATGAATACTGAATCAATACTAAATCCATGACATGAATACGAGATCAATACTAAATCCATGACATGAGTACTAGATCAATACTAAATCCATAACATGAATACTAAATCAATACTAAATTCATGATATGAATACTAGATCAATACTGAATCCATAACATGAATACTAAATCAATACTAAATCCATGACATGAATACGAGATCAATACTAAATCCATGACATGAATACTAAATCAATACTAAATTCATGATATGAATACTAGATCAATACTGAATCCATGACATGAATACGAGATCAATACTAAATCCATGACATGAATACAAAATCAATACTAAATTCATGACATGAATACTAAATCAATACTGAATCCATGACATGAATACTAAATCAATACTAAATCCATGACATGAATACTAAATCAATACTAAATCCATGACATGAGTACTAGATCAATACTAAAACAATTGCTGGATTCCTTCTTTTTTTGAAATTGCATTTTATGTATTCGTTTTCAATTGTGGTAATTTAAAACCTTTACATACAAACAAGTTTTATGGTGGCCTTAAGTCTATTTAGGGTCAGAGAGGGGGGGGGGGGCCCTATTTATAAATCAAGGGCAGACATTATGTTTACCGGGCCGGGTAAGTACTTTGCCTCCTGAGACTCCTGGATCCCAGCCAGGCATCGCATCCCTCACAGTACCAGTGGGTCCTCCAGTCGCAGCTGGGAAATCCCCAGCCGGTAGCACGTGGAAGTTTCCGAAGTCATGAGGCTACCCCCAGTCATCAGCCATTTCAATCGGATTTTCATGGATTTTCTGTTTTTTTTACCATCCAGCGATTTTTAGGGGTATTTTTTGATTCCCATGGGTCCCATGACTATGGAAAGCCCGTGGAAATGTCAACCTGACTTGCTTTTCGGCCAGTCTTTTCGGATCGCTCCTCTCGTGGGACATGCTCTTGACAGAGAAGCGGTGCTCCCCTTGTTCATTCATCTTCTCCTTGGCAACTGCTTTCCACAGTGATATCGAAGCCCAAGAATCCTCTTCTGATTGCATGCGCTGCTTACATACCTAGATTTCATCTCCTTAGGGTGGGCCCTCTGGTAATGCTAGCGCTGCTAGCTGAGCTAAGGACAACCGCAAAACTTTGGCCACAGAAATGCACATCATCCGATAGTCATCGAAGTAAACAACTGTTTCACCCAGCTTGCGCCAGCTTCTTACTGAGAGTTGGATTGAGGCCGAGGCCGAGAATCCCAGCTCCATTTTGCCAAGATAAATGGTCACCACTGGGATATTTGCAAGGTTAAACAGTTCAGCCCCCAAGTTGCCTTATATATATATATATATATTAATTATACATAAGCTATACACATATATATATATAATTATACATACATACATTACATTACATTACATTACATTACATTACATTACATTACATTACATTACATTACATTACATTACATTACATACATACATACATCACATACATACATACATACATACATACATACATACATACATACATACATACATACATACATACATACATACATACATACATACATACATACATACATACATACATACATACATACATACATACATACATACATACATACATACATACATACATACATACATACATACATACATACATACATACATACATACATACATACATACATACATACATACATACATACATACATACATACATACATACAACACATACACATACATACATACATACATACATACATACATACATACATACATACATACATACATACATACATACATACATACATACATACATACATACATACATACACATACATACATACATACATACATACATACATACATACATACATACATACATACATACATACATACATACATACATACATACATACATACATACATACATACATACATACATACATACATACATACATACATACATTACATACATACATTACATACATACATACATACATACATACATACATACATACATACATACATACATACATACATACATACATACATACATACATACATACTTACATTACATTACATTACATTACATTACATTACATTACATTACATTACATACATACATACATATGCATAAATATATACATAATTCAGGTTGACAACGACTGATATTTTGATATTTGGTTTGTGACTATTTTTGTCAAAACCCTGGGACGCTAACCAAACTCATGGCTGGTCACTGGATGTCGATTCCCTCATGGTAGATTCATATTGATCCATCTCCACATGGAGTTTTCCTCAAATAGGGCTACCCCAAATCATTCAAAATTTGACCATGTTACCCTCTGGTTATGTCAAAAAAGCTCTTGAAAATTGCCCATAGAAATAGTTGATTTACCGAACTTAAAGATGGTGGATCTTTCCATAGTAATGTAAACGTTCACCAGAGGGTAGTATTGAAACCAATGCTTTTGGGGTACCCCCATTTTTGAAGCCCCAAAACCTATCGTGCGCGCCTGCGCGGTGAGTTGGTAGCGCCTCTCCACGCCCTGGGATTGGCCCGGAACGGGAAACGATGGGATTGGCCCGAAATGATTTCAAGATTTCTGTGGAAATAAGGATATATCCTTTGACGGATCAATGGTGCTGGTATATATGCTAACAAAAAGGGGGTTTTTGTTGATGGGATCCATGGTACCAAACAAATAGCAGCACCATGGATCAATGGGATGGATAAATATCCCCAGAAATGTTATTGGCAGAAATGTTGGATCATATTCACTGACTTGAAACAAGGCTTCTTCTTGGGATGGTTCCCTTTAGATCCCTTTACTCACCATCGTTAAGGTCACAGTGAGGTCGTTATGATTACCCAGATGTGATATGTGTTCCATTTTCTAAGGCCTATTTTGGAGGTTCTAGTTACAAATAATGGATGTGAAGGTCGTCGTAAATCTACGTATAGCTCGGCCGACAAATGATGTATATATATATATAAAAAAAAGGTTATATAATGCTCAGAACTAATGATCTTTGGATGATAACTGAGCTCCCGGATGAGAATCCAACAGATGGAGACTTCTGAGATGGAGAAAGTCATCCAAATGGTTCATGTGATGGTAATGCAACCTCTGGCATCTCCTGGTTAAGAAACAACCACATGAAACAACAACATGTCTGGGCATGATCATGGGTCAATGTTGTTTTTTGTCCGGCAGAAGAGACTGAACATCATATATGGATTGGTCATGCTTACCTCTGGCCATGTGGTGAAAGTTAAAAGTTAAAACATACTACAGTAACATGTTGTCAATGTCTTTAAAACTATGTCACGTTCGTGCTTCCCACTTTGACCATACCCGTGTCATCTTATTCTGGATAGAAATATACAAACACACACATATATAAACACACACATATATATATATATATATGTATACATAGTTACGATAGTTATATATATATATATACATATATATAATATGCCTTGATCCAAGACAAAATCAAACAAGTGCAGCAACATGTTGGGGAGAACAGCCTCAGCCATCGTCACGCTCTAAAGGTGGTGTAGCGCACACAACAGAAAACACAACAAAAAACACTGGTCTAGAACAACAGTTTGAATATGTTTGAATCTCTTCCCCCCCTATCATTAAACGCCCCTAAGAAACAATAGTTTCATAGAGATAAAGACACATATTTGGGACCATAGTCCACAGTGGGTCTTTCAAACGGGGCATGGGATGACCATAACAAGTTCCCCCCATTCCGCCCCTGGGTTCGCCCAACGCCCAATGCCACAAATGCCTGGATCGTTGCAAGTCAAATTATAAGGTCCGGGACAAGGTCCGGGACCAGTTCCATACCTGTTTGAAGGATCCGTTCCATACCTCTGTTCCATACCTCTGATCCATACGTTATGATACAATATACTATATAAATATACATTTGAACACCTGCAATCTGATTTTACATTTGTACGCACATACATAAGCGCACATACATACATGAGTGCATACATGCAAGAATACGTTTACTGTACTATGCCCAAGCCCTGTGATTGTGTTGGCAAGTCTGTGCCTGCAGCACTTACAGCTGCTACCTACTTTGTTGTGTGTTGGTAGGGAACCATCCGAAGTCTATGATGAGTGCCAGGTGTGAACAGATAGGCTGAGAATTGCCAGCAAGGCAATCAATAGATTGGGATTGTTTCTGGATTTCTTTCATGTCCATATTCAGCTTCAGGTCTGTGAATTATGGCTTTGGTACTTGAAATTCACGAACAAAATATGGAGACAAAACATCGCCATCAACTAGGTAGCAACCATCAACTATCATAACAATAATATCCATAGTTTATCCATTGTTAAATCACTAATATGTACATGGTTTATGCCATATGTTCCCTCTTGCAGTAACATGCCATCAACTAGGGATCAATCAACTGATGCATATTCTCACTAATATGGTGGTCCTATCTATATACTTAACATATTTGAAAGTTTTATCGCTTGCGGAGCACGCAACAATAAATCGACCGTTCTTTGAAAATGTTATCATTGTCGAATTCCCCAAACAAATCATTAGATAAACAGCACATGTACAGCAAGTGTCGTGTACTTGTTGGAAACCCTATGTTTGATAAATCATGGTTCGCGCAGCCTCCCAAATTTCACTCCATACCCAGACCCTCAAAGTAAGTAGCTACGAGCATGTCTCCTAGTTACTAAAAAACAAAACGACTTTTTTCCCCCACCAGCGTAAGCTAATGGGGTCTTCAGCCCAGAATAGCTCCGGTGTGCACTGGTGCAGGCGCCGGGTCAAGTTCAACGACGTTCCGGAGAAGATTCCGGAGAAGGTTGCGGGGGGCTTTGATGCAGAGCCAGGTCAGGTTCAAAAGGGTTCCGGAGAAGGTTCCGGAGAAGGTCTGGGAGACTTTGGTGCAGAGCCAGGTCAGGTTCAACAGGGTTCCGGACAGGGAGGCTTTGGCGCAGAGCCAGGTCAGGTTCAACAGGGTCCCTGAGAAGGTTTCGGAGAAGGCGCAGAGCCAGGTCAGGTTCAACAGGATTTGCGGCCATTTAACTCACGGAAACCCAGCTGAGGTTTTCCAGCGCTTAGCTTCGCAGCACGCTTCAGAAAGATTTGTAAAAATAAAACATTGCGGCTGTTGGGGATACCACCGAAGCTTATTCAAACATCTGGTAACATCAAACTCATCAAACCAACCATAGTTTATCAAACATAGGATTACCAGATCACTTTATACCCACATCTTTGGAATCGGACAACTGCACCTGCAGCTGGTCCTCTGAGTCGCGCAGCACCACTCCATCGCCTGGATATCCCATGGTGGTCCCCATATTCCCAGGATGAGACCTGCTATACCCTCTGGTAAACATACAAAAAGCTATTGAACATGGCCATTTATAGTGAGTTTTCCCATTAAAAAAGTGATTTTCCATAGTTTGTAAACGTTTACCAGAGGCTATACCCTCTGATGCAACAGTCGCAACAGTTTGCTATGGACCATATGGCCCATTTGGATGATAAATCTGATGATAACATTGTGATTTTTCAGACCTATACGTTAACTAACCGGTACCGGTACCCCGCAACATATGGGGAAAGTTACCTAGCCAGGGATTATACACCTATATACGCTAGACTTCAAGGACCTCATAAAAACCGAATTAACATTAGGGCAACAGGACCAGCCAATTATATACAGGGTAACATAGCAATAGGTACTTGAAGGGTCTAGATATACACCTTACTGATACCATTCTTAAACATATGTTTACAATGACATTGAGGTGATATCGTGATTATTAAATCAAATACATATATATATATATATATATATGGCCGCAGCTGATCTTTGGTTTTCCTATGGCCCTCTGGTGATCTAACATCGCAATTGAACATCCCCCCACGTATATATAGATAATTTCTTTCCCAGCTGGGGATTTCCAACCTATATACCATAGCTACAGTATCTTTGATGACACCGAAGGGTAGGTCATTTGGGGATCCTTCTCCTTCTGAACCAGCACGTTCTGGTGAGAAAACAGATCCGAATGATCCAGAAATCACAATGTTGCAACATTAAGAAAACCAATAATCAAGAACGCTCAGGCTCAAAAGAACTTATATATATATATAGTGTATATTATATACGTTATATATATATACAAATCACAGCACACTCACCCTCCAGACATGGCCCAGATTTTTGTGACCATGCAATCATGTTTCGTTTGCCAAAGCTGCTGTGCTGCATTGATGCTTGATTCAAATTGAAGCACCATTGGAAAATGCCAGTCGACTGGAAATCAAAATGCAAATTCGATCAGTCAAATATCACCCTTCGAGGCTTGGCTGGCTCTGGGCGATTGAAGAAGCTTGAGAGTTAAAGATGCGGGCCAATGGAGTCCCGTTCTAGCTGAGTTTTAAATCCATTTCCAAAGACAACAAATCACAGCACACTCACCCTCCAGACATGGCCCAGATTTTTGTGACCATGCAATCATGTTTCGTTTGCCAAAGCTGCTGTGCTGCATTGATGCTTGATTCAAATTGAAGCACCATTGGAAAATGCCAGTCGACTGGAAATCAAAATGCAAATTCGATCAGTCAAATATCACCCATTCCCATTCTTGCTCTGGTTAACCGATGGTTCGCAAAGCAGTTAAAAGAGTACTCTTGATGCTTTGAGACTGAGCTTCCACCAGGGATTTTCTGTGGGGGCTCACTTGACGCCATTGCGCCAAAAGCAACGCATGTTTCTCGTATCTAGAGACACTTCGTTTGGCAGCCCATCGGCCACGTTTCTGAATCTCCACCAAGGAACGCCTGCTATGATACATGTCATTGCTGGCAGCTGCATGTCGAATGATATGAGGCATGACACATGAACACTTGTAGGACAACCGCAAACAGGCTTGACGACACCAAGTTTCATATCCAGACAAGGTCAGGCCAGGAAACAGCTCATATTTCACAGTCTTCATGAAAAGTCTCATACATTCTTTAATCCAGCCATTGTGAGGTCGATCCCCTAAAAGGATTGAGTCATCTGACTGACCCGTCTTGGTAGTCTGCTGCAAAGTGGATGGAGCAATGATCAAAGCCCAGTGCAAATAGCGACGGCCCTGTGGCCAACATACATGATCGGTGGTCAAGGAAAGGCACTCGGATGGTCTCAAATAGCCATCGAATTGAATCAACATAGCCATAGCCAAATCGATTCTGTCATCTTCAAGAGCCAGCGTCATGAGATCAAAAATGAATTCCTCAGGAACAGGCACGCGCATCTGACCAGGATCTTGTTTTCTCCACCCACTCAGAGCCTCTTTGGAACCTACCAAAAACGAGTCTTTGGAGCCTTCGCATTTCAGTAACTGCAACCCGTAAATAAGGTAGGATGCTTTAGACATTTCCGCATCAGAGTCATACAGGTGAGTGATATATTGAGTGACCTTGCGATCTAAAGTGGGAAAACTCCACCTCTTTCTCTTGCTCCTCAGCCATTCTTCAAACTCCTCAATCTGCCGAAGATATCGTGTCAGAGTGTTTTGACTGACCTTCATCGCCCTAAGTCGGAGGTGGGCCGGCAGGTGTTTGCCATCTAACCCAACCCTGACAGAGCTTGGTTTGCGACTTCTAGCCCTGACGGAGCTTTCTGAGCTCCTCGGCAGCCTGTTCTTTGGTGAACTGGCCAAAGACGACCGGGTTGTGCTTGATGAATTGAATGGCTTCTTTGATGGGGGCTGAATGGTCCTCCGGGTGGTCCCCATGCTTTGGATTACAGACAGTGGAAGCTGACGAATGGCCTCTGTCATAGCCACAGGTCGCTTCTTGGACTGCTGCCAGGAACTCATTCTTTTCTCTCCATAAGATCCGTCCAAAAGCCTGGAAGGGAGCCACCTCTTTCAAGGCTTGAGCCCAGTGCTGACAAAGTTCACCTGGATAGGCTCCGGCTAAACTGGTTTTGTTGACTGTCTGCCACTTCCCACTCACTTTAGCTCGAACTGAGCCTCTGAGCTGGTCATGACTGTGATCTTTTTGGCACTTGCGACCCAAAACTCCAAAGACTCTATCGTTTGTAAGAATAGTGGTGCTCTTCTTGTGTTGCGCCCCATATCTGCACATATCCCAATGTACAAAGCATAACCCTTTGTCTTTGACCAATTCAAGGAGGGGACCAAACTGCCACAGTCTGCTGGTTGATGGGTTTTCCAGTGTGAATAGGATACCCTTTTTGAGACAGGTGCGAATGACCCTACACGTGAACAACGCCGTAGCCACTGCTTGCCTTTCTTTACGTCTAGCTTTTCGAAAATCTTTGATATTATGTCTGGCACGTGACCAAGCCGTGCAAGGTGTACCCAAATGAACATACCAAACCAAACCAGAGGTTAGCAGCGATATGATAAAATCTTGTGTCTTGGGATTCAACAAATCGTATATGGGGTCCTTGGAAATCTCAAAGTCCGGTAAAACTCGCATCCCAGCTTTCCTCACCGCATTGGACAGCCTTCCAGTCCCAGAGAAGAGCTCCAGGAAGCTGACCTCGTCGGAGGTGTATCGAAGTCTCCTGGCCGGCTTCGAAGGTTGTGACACAGTGTGTTCTTGCTCAAAAGAGTGTATGCTAATGTGCGCATCCAAGGAATCACCTGTATCTTTCCTTCTTGGCCTAACCATGTCTTCTCCAAATCTCCTAGAAGGTTCGTCTGCTGGATTGGCTTCACTGCGGATATATCTCAATCTCCAATTCACCCCCCCTGCAACAATATAAGCCGCCGCTCGACGACAGAGACCATTGAGAGGCCCACTACTGCTACGACCCCGCTCCATTGCTAATACAACGCCCATATTGTCACAAAAAGTCAATGCTGTATGTCCCAAATTTTTAACTGTTCTACAAAGCCGCCTCAAACTCATCAAAGCGACTCGACCCTCTTTCAAGTTGATGTGTTCACTAGATAGGGGTTGGGTGTGCACAGGGGGGTAGTGCCAAGGTATTCAGCCACCTCTAGGCGGATGGATTCCTAGGGTCCAAGGTTTTTAAGGCAGGGTTGAAAACCTTGGCCTAACATTTTAGCAATTTTGAGGTTCTTCGCTAACCTAGAGGTGAAAACCTTGATCCCAACATTTCAACATAAAACAGCTTACTTTCGCATATGATGCTTAAAACCTTCAGCCCAAGATTCACAAGCCCAACTGTTGCTTAATAACTTGACCACACTCCATTAACGGTCGATCCAAGCTCTTGACAAAAAACTGTGGGTGGACGATGCGGCAGCGACACAGGTGGATCAGAAGACCGAGGTGTAGTTGAAAGTTTCCGAATGCGTTGACGAAGAAGTGACTCCATTATAATGAAAATATATAAAACCGATTGCCTGTGAAAGCCAATGGAAGATTCAAAAATAAACTAAATTCAAGAAGCCAACTTTCGATTAGTTGTATGATCAATCTAATTTTGCGGAAATGACGCGATCTTGTTGGCGCCCTCTCTTTGCCCCGTGCCCAGGCAGATGGAAAGGGACAAGCAGTTGAAGAGAAGGCAAGGGTTGAAAAACTTGGGTCTGAGAACAGTGCCCGAAGAGAACCAAACAGATCCACATGTTCTTTGGGCGAATCCCTTCTAGATCCTCTGGGGTTAAATACCTGGTCCCAAGGTCCCAGATTTGTATGAGATGCTTGTTGACCTGCGGATCCTGGGGGAGGTGGCAGGTTTAACCGGGCCAACCATAAGCACTAAAATTGCAAAATTTCAGGCCAGTTGTTCTTCATTAAGACCCTTATTTAAAATTGTTGTTTTTGAACCATTTTTGCATCCACAAAGGGGGGTCCCCTTGAAGTCCACCGATGTAGCCTGTTTTGCATGGTTTGCGGGTCTCCGAGCTTGCTCCGTGTTTTGGTTCTCCGGGGTAAATACCTGGGCCCAAGGTTCATGCATGTTTTAGTGAAAACATCATAATCATCCATTTCCTCGGATCCCGTTGCAGATGCACTCAGATGCTCTCTCCAGGTGGACGATGCGCCGGCGATGCCGGATAAGAACACCGAGGTGTAGCCGAAAGTTTGGGATGGTTTGACTTGTTTAGGTTTTGTTGGTTTTGTTTTCCCAATCACTGATAACACTGTTTTGGAATGCGTTGACGAAAAAATTGCTCAACCAATCAATGTAATCAATTGTTTGGATTTTTGTCCGTGAAAAAAAATGATCCGCAGGAATCAACGGAAGATCCAGTAGATAAAGAGGTAGAGTTCCGGTTTGTATGTATAACCAATTTACTTTTTGGGAAATGACGCAATCTTGTTGACGCCCTCAATTTTTGATTTATTTCCGGCTGCCCCGTGCCCAGGCAGATGGAAAGTGACAAGAAGCTGAAGAGAAGGCACGGGTTGAAAAACTTGGGCCTGAGAACAATGCCTGAAGGGAGCCAAACAGATCCACATGTTCTTTGGGTGAATCCCTTCTAGATCCTCTGGGGTTAAATACCCCGTCGCAAGGTCCCAGATTTGTATGAGATGCTTGTTGACCTGCGGATCCTGGGGGAGGTGGCAGGTTTAACCGGGCCAACCATAAGCACTAAAATTGCAAAAATTCAGGCCAGTTGTTCTTCATTAAGACCCTTATTTAAAATTGTTGTTTTTGAACCCTTGAAGTCCACCGATGTAGCCTGTTTTGCATGGTTTGCGGGTCTCCGAGCTTGCTCCGTGCTTTGGTTCTCCGGGGTAAATACCTGGGCCCAAGGTTCATGCATGTTTTAGTGAAAACATCATAATCATCCATTTCCTCGGATCCCGTTGCAGATGCACTCAGATGCTCTCTCCAGGTGGACGATGCGCCGGCGATGCCGGATAAGAACACCGAGGTGTAGCCGAAAGTTTGGGATGGTTTGACTTGTTTAGGTTTTGTTGGTTTTGTTTTCCCAATCACTGATAACACTGTTTTGGAATGCGTTGACGAAAAAATTGCTCAACCAATCAATGTAATCAATTGTTTGGATTTTTGTCCGTGAAAAAAAAATGATCCGCAGGAATCAACGGAAGATCCAGTAGATAAAGAGGTAGAGTTCCGGTTTGTATATATAACCAATTTACTTTTTGGGAAATGACGCAATCTTGTTGACGCCCTCAATTTTTGATTTATTTCCGGCTGCCCCGTGCCCAGGCAGATGGAAAGTGACAAGAAGCTGAAGAGAAGGCAAGGGTTGAAAAACTTGGGCCTGAGAACAATGCCTGAAGAGAGCCAAACAGATCCACATGTTGTTTGGGTGAATCCCTTCTAGATCCTCTGGGGTTAAATACCTGGTCCCAAGGTCCCAGATTTGTATGAGATGCTTGTTGACCTGCGGATCCTGGGGGAGGTGGCAGGTTTAACCGGGCCAACCATAAGCACTAAAATTGCAAAAATTCAGGCCAGTTGTTCTTCATTAAGACCCTTATTTAAAAATTGTTGTTTTTGAACCATTTTTGCATCCACAAAGGGGGGTCCCCTTGAAGTCCACCGATGTAGCCTGTTTTGCATGGTTTGCGGGTCTCCGAGCTTGCTCCGTGTTTTGGTTCTCCGGGGTAAATACCTGGGCCCAAGGTTCATGCATGTTTTAGTGAAAACATCATAATCATCCATTTCCTCGGATCCCGTTGCAGATGCACTCAGATGCTCTCTCCAGGTGGACGATGCGCCGGCGATGCCGGATAAGAACACCGAGGTGTAGCCGAAAGTCTGGGATGGTTTGACTTGTTTAGGTTTTGTTGGTTTTGTTTTCCCAATCACTGATAACACTGTTTTGGAATGCGTTGACGAAAAAATTGCTCAACCAATCAATGTAATCAATTGTTTGGATTTTTGTCCGTGAAAAAAAATGATCCGCAGGAATCAACGGAAGATCCAGTAGATAAAGAGGTAAAGTTCCGGTTGTTTGTATAACCAATTTACTTTTTGGGAAATGACGCAATCTTGTTGACGCCCTCAATTTTTGATTTATTTCCGGCTGCCCCGTGCCCAGGCAGATGGAAAGTGACAAGAAGCTGAAGAGAAGGCACGGGTTGAAAAACTTGGGCCTGAGAACAATGCCTGAAGAGAGCCAAACAGATCCACATGTTCTTTGGATGAATCCTTTCTAGATCCTCTGGGGTTAAATACCTGGTCCCAAGGTCCCAGATTTGTATGAGATGCTTGTTGACCTGCGGATCCTGGGGGAGGTGGCAGGTTTAACCGGGCCAACCATAAGCACTAAAATTGCAAAAATTCAGGCCA